ACATAGCATGTATTTAGGCGCCTGGTGTTAGCAGACGCGCCTAAACAATACCTTTAGGACTCTTCTTTGCCAATAAGACCTTCTTAATAGCAGGACCTCTTTCTGGAGAAGCACTTAAAAGCTCATTAAATAGCGTAGCTGAATATCTCATTTTTAATTCAGTGACCAAAAAGAAATACATCTGGTTCGATAACTTTCGAAAGCTCATTAGCTTTCTTCATTTTAACTTTTTGGCAACGGTCTTCAAAACTTTTAGCTGGCCTACCAGCAGAAAATGTCGGCTTACCAAACTTAGAACACACAAATTGTGACAAGCCTTTTTCAAATTATAGCCAATCTTTATTTGTAGTAACAAACCGCTCTCCTTCGGAAAACGTTTGTCCACTTTAGGTCCAAATTCTGAATTAACTTCGCACGTGTGATTTCAATTTAACAAATTTGATTCTATCACTAGATCCTAAACTGATATTCCCTGGTACAAAATCCATTATTCCATCAAGTCTTTCATTTTTAGGGGTCGACAGCCATAAATCAAAAATTTCCTGTCTTGAAATTTTAGGAGTCATTTTGAAAATTGAAAATAAATGTATGGGTGCCGCAGCTAGCCGCAGAATTTTTTTTTTGGATTCCATTAGTATATACATCAATCGAGAGAATAAGTATAGTAAGTGATCTATATTCCGCCATATAAGAAAGATTTCTTCTACAAAAACAAAAAATAATAATAATTTGGTACTCACCAAAAAATATGTACGTCCACTTCGGTAATAATTTTTACATTTCCTGAATTTTCTTACTTAAAACAATGACGGAGAAAGAAATGAAGTTAAAACAAAGTTTCTTTAAACAAGTTATTGAGCCTTCAAAATACTCAGTTTTCGTTGTACGCACAACTTCATTTTTCACTTATTGCTTACTATGACTTTTGGATACCATTATGTTTATATGTAGCCAAATTTTTTCAAACAAAGTTGTATTTACTCTTAAGTAGACAATATTCTTGCATATTTGATAAAAATTTTATTGAAAAATTACAAACCAAAAATTTAATTAAAATACCCTAGCTTTGCACATTGGACCACTGTGCGCCGCCGGGAATGCGAAATCTTGTATAATATCATTCTTGTTATTAGGGACACAAATTTCGATACTATATGATACCATATCGATATTTTTGCCATTCGATACCGATACTTTTTACTCGAAAGTGTTCAAAAGATATTTTTTGGAATCGAGTACCAGAACCCTTGTATCGTATCGATTCGATAATAGGGCATTCGCACGAGGCGATTTTTCAGGCAACTTTTAGTTGAAAGCAAAAATCGCCTCGTCCGAACGGCCTTTCAACTAATCGCTTTCAACAAAGTTGGTCGCCAGCCAACTTTGAGCTCGTTCAACTTTTTTTCCTTGCAACCCTGTGTTTGTTTACATTCTGTATCAGTGTTGCGATATGAAATTGTTCCTTCAGTACGAAATCTATACAAAAAATGTACTTTTCGGCTATAAATTGTATACACTTTTTGATTCGCTCATATATTTTCTTAGTACATTCCCTTCAAGACCAATGGTATTCATGAGAAAGTTTTATTGTTTATGTACATACGTTTACGTATTTTACACTTTTACAAATTGATTCCACGCGCACATGTACTGCATTTAACGCAAATATGTATGTACACATTTTCAGGTATACATCTTAACAAAAAGCATATTTAAGTTATTATTAATGGATAAAAGAGACATTTTCCTTTGGATTCAGTACTAAAATTTGACATTTTAATAGCACTTCAAGTGCTTATCAAAACTTTACGACAAGATCTGACCATTTATCTTATTATTATTCAATTTTAATTATTTTTTTTAAATACTGTTTATATTTTAAGAAAAGCCATACAAATCCAAGGTTCAAACTCTGTGCAACATTAAAAAAACCAACACACTTTCGTAAAAATTTCGAACTTTTTAATTCGATTTCCTAGATTTATTTTGAGTGTGCGGTTTTTTAGCCCATTAAATTTTAATATAACAAAGTTTTTTAAGATTTCTTTGATGAAGGTGTTGCTAATTTTCTGACAGCTGACATCGCCGACAAAAAAAATTGCCGAGTTCAACGGTAAGTCCCAGCTACTTTAAACTTGCACTTTATTATACTAAAATTTAATGGGCTAAAAACTAAAGAATATTAATAAAGCTCGAAATTTTTACGAAAGTATGTTTTCTTTTGGATGTTTCGCAAAGATTTAATCTTGGCTTTATACGGTTTTTCTTAAAGAATACATTATATTTTATAAACAGATAATTAAAATTAAAGAATAATAAAATAAATAGTAAAATCTTGTCAATATGTGAGTGCCGTAAAGGTATTATATTTAAGAAAATCTCTTCTTATAACTAACGAAGACTTTGTTTCTATATGAAGCTGACTTCGACATTTTGTTTAAATAAAACTTAGTATCGAAAAGTTTCTTTAAAAATTTGCCTAGGCTATAGTATACTGGTCCGTTCAAGCCATTTTTCAAAACTTACAAAGGTAAATACGAACAGGCGAACAAAAGAGAATACAAAAAAATTTTTGCTGTGAATTTTCAGAGCTATATATTTTTAGTATTGATTACAAAATTGTACTAAAAAGTACTGCGTAGTAGGAAAGTATATTGTAAATGAAATTGTATCAAACAAGTACAATTGTACCAAAAATGCCAACACTGTTCTGTATACATACTTTTTCTTCTTTTCTACTTTTTTACTCTTATTTTATCTTTCAGCTTCGCTAAAAGCACTTCTACCAACGCTTGGCTTACCAAATTTACGCCAATTGATAAAATTTTGCGATTTAAATTCATTTTCAATAATGTAAATAACGATTCGTGTTGAATCGAAAATCGCCTCGTCTGAATAGGGATG